TTCTGATTTGATAGAAAAAAAAGAAGATGATGGTAATCGATATTTTTAGGGAAGATGAGATTTCTGAAGTAGTGGATTGCTAGTGAACATCAGTGAACATAAGTAAACATAAGTAAACATCAGTAAACATAAGTAAACATAAGTAAACATCAGTAAACATCAGTAAACATCAGTAAAAACATTATTGAGAAAGGATAGTGTAATGATTACTTTTTTTTCATAAAAGAGATGATCTCCTACGTGAAAAAAATTCCATCTCAAAAGTTTTTCCTACGATGTTGTTGTTGAAAAACCTATCATTTAAATAGCAAAGATTGTGATTAGAGTTTCGGAAAAAAGGTAGATTATAAAAGCTCTCTGATCGCATGACCGAGCTACCACCATCGCCCTTCTTTCACTATTGAATTCTCAACCTCCTATTCTGGAATACGATCACTTCCGCTTTACTTTATCTTATTTTGTATGCAGCTAATTTGCATGTCTAACGTTCACGATAAAATTGGTTAACGCTGCACCAAGCTGGTTGCGAGTACACCACCTAATTTAAGCTTCGGTGTAAGCAGTTAAGCTCCCTTCTCATAGTTTAATGCTGAATGTATGTGAATATATGTGATGAACAGGACCGGACGAAAACGTAAAATTGCTCCATAGTTAATGCAAACATATCCTTATCCCTCAGGATAATATCATATATATATATATATGAGACAGTGAGTGGGTTCATTGCTCTTTTTACGATGAACGATGCCAGTGAGTGATATAGTTTTGTCTCGTCCCATAAACATTTGTGTTTATTTTATACATACATGCATAAATTACAATACTCGCATGTAACATATGTGTAATAATCACACGTTACAAAATGGAACCATAAAGCGAATATATAGCCTTAGTTGGAATGCAATTATTTTATGCAAATGCACCATTAATTTTATATTTGAGTTTTCTTGGGGGAAATCGACTGCAAATGCTTTATACATTAAATTTCATCCTCTTTTGAGGAAAACGAAAGTTATTGTTGTTTCTTGGCAACGGAATGGTTGTTTTCGTTCGACCTCGTCCATTTTGGAGTTATGTAGTAAACTTACAAGCTGTAACCTGTCCTCGTAAAATGGTGGAATTTAATCAAACTTTCCTATCCTTAGACAATATCGCAGGCGTGCACTTAAATGCGTCGTGAAAGAAGAGGCTGCACACTGTAAATCTATCCCTGTGGTCGAAGACACACGAGTGCTTTCGAACCTCATAAAATTCTATTTACCTCAATATCAGTGGGTCACACTTAAATAGCGAAAAAAAGCTTTTGATCCACTTATTTTCTACAGTGAATTAAAAATAAATTTAAGCCTCTCAATTTGAGAGAATTCAATTTGTAAAAATTAATTTAGAACAAAATTTATAGTTTCAAGTAGATGATGAATATTTAATGAATACATGATGTGAGTGAACATCAGTATAACTGCTATGGAACATCGACTCGGCGCTTTATCTCTGAGAAATAGTTTGGTAGTTTGGAGAAAATAAATGTAGCTCAACATTGGGGAAGAGTTTAATTAGAATTTCCAAAGGGACTTTAACTTGGACATCTTCACGGATGACAATAGTGAATTCACTTCCGGTATACATTTGAGAAGTAAATTTTCCCAATGGTTGTTCTTAACTTTTCCCAGCTATTGGAAAACTTTCAAAAAGTTAAGTTTCATTCAATCGTTAATTCACCATCAGCAACCTGGCTAGAAATAACTTTTCTCTTAATTAATATACATGTAATTTTAAATCATCCGTTTCATAAGCAATACCAAAAGGAAATTCTTTGTTGAAATTAGACATATTTTCTAAAAATAAAACGATTAGTCACAAGTCGCGTAGGTAAATATTTAAATAAGAGTATTTTTAATCCTGAAACTTTATTTCTATATACTCTCTCGCTTCTATTGGTTGCTGCAGCTAAATGCTAAATCTAGGCTTGAGTCGGTGAAATCTTGAAATAGGTTTTTGCTCAATTCAACCGATAAAGTCTGTCGATTGCCCAACCTTCTCAAAACCTAGAGTGAAATCCAAGAGATTTTTCGAGTAATTCGAGTTTTCAGATAGCGTGCCCTCGTTGCCGCATATCGAGACGATAAGGTCTTCTACACCTGGCGTCGTAGTGAACAGCATTGGGCGTCGGTCAAATTCGATTTTCCTTTTTCGTTCGATCGTCCATTTGAAATAGCGATCGGCCAGTTCATGTACGAACCTAATCCAGATAGAGTGGTAAACTAGATACGGCTGCGTCAGGGTTCGAATAAATGTAGAACCAGGTCAACCAGCCAATCCTACCTTCAGAAGGCACACCAATCTTCCAATCGTGCTCTAGCGCTTCCATTCGCTTTTCCCTCTGCAGTACTATACCTTTCTCTCAAGAGGATCCTTGACAAAAAAAAAAAAAAAGAAGGAAGGAAGAAAAAAAAAGTACACGAAAAATAGAAAGGGACTCCACTTTCCGAGGGAATCGACGTATTCGCCGAAAAGGAATTTCTTGGTGTCGAAGCACGTTACAAGGATGTATTATCGATTCGATGCCGCGAATGTCGTCAAGCCAATGCACTTTCGGAAATAAAAAAGTTAAAAAACGTTTTCTCGTATTCGCACCAAGGTTTTAAGAACCACGTGCAAACGCTTCTGCCTTTACGCGCTTCGCGTGATTTATCGGACGTTGATGGGCTTCTCCACACTCTCCATTCTCGCTCGATAAACACCTGCGGTAATTGCATAAAACTGCCTTGTTGACGCTTCAAACTACTTTTTCCGTTTTTTTCCACTTTAAAAATAATTTATCAGCAGCCAATATGAACTGTATAAATTATGATCAAGAGTTTTCTTTCTCAAGTCTGACAAATAGGATTAAGAATCCAGACTTCGAACTAAAATTAATTTTAAAAAAGTGTCTTTCTATTTTTGGATTTTGGCTTTTAGTGGATAAGAAAAGTACCTAAATAGTAGCATAACGTAATGAGTGCAAAGTCTAAAAATCGGACTCGCCAATTAATTTTTGCTCGCAAATGTTTTTGATCGGAAATGGAAAGTTAATCTGACTTGAAGGTTACGAGTGGTGGCGATATCAGAAGTAGAGAGTTGGAAATTTACTGGCGCGTCGCCACGTTACTCGTACCTTCTCCCTTGCCTCGGTTCATTTCCATAGCGTTTTGATCAAGCTGTCTGCATATTAAAGCCACCGATATTGCAGTCACGCAATATTAATATCCGATCGCAACGTGTGTAAACGAGTTAGGCCAGAGCGCCGTTTAATTTGACGTTCATTCGATTAATCCACTACAGTCGTCAGCTCAAATAACAATGGATTCGACAGGTAGACAGGATAAGAGTCGAGGTTATAGATGACGTTTGGTAGAATAAAGGCCTATAATCAACTCATTTTGACAGAAAATTGATACTTTGATTCCCTATTTGAAATCGTCTTAGCTGATCCCTATATACGTTTACGAAAACTTTTCAATTAAAAATCAATCAACTGAAACTTTTTTCAATACCAATTAAACGATTCCAATGGGGGAAAAATTAAATCAGGACAAAAAAATTGGATGGAGGGTTGGCGAACTTAAACTTTATTTGTAATTAAATACAAAGAGAGTTTGGGACACAAATTTTGCAAGTTTAGTGTAATTAATTAGAGTATTTTTCCAAATGAAAGTTAATTGGTTAAGAAGGGAGCAGATGTTGGAAAGGTTGAAAGGTGGAAAGGTAGAAACCCCCTGCTGAGAAAGATATCGCCGATCATGAACGAAATAAGACGCAGATCGGGTCGTACAACTTGAATCACCTTGGTAACCCTAGTATAGGGGTCTAGCTGCCTAGATCAGCCGACGAAGATATACGTTAACATATAAAAATACAGCGGCAAGACTCGATACATCACATGATCAGATAACGAAAAGAGTTGTCGTTTGTCGCAGAGAAAAGATAGAATCACGGAGTTTATTTTACTCTCGCGTTAAAACTCGTCTGCTTTTGATGACTCAACTGTAGGAAGAGACGTTTTTTTCTTCCCTTTGCCCACAATGGATATTCTGAAATCTATACTTTCATCGGAATGACAATCCCGTGAAAAAGGAGTTAAAGGTTTACACAGAAAGAGCACTGAGCCGTAAAGAATTGTCAGGCAACAAAAAAAAATCAACTTTGCGATAACTTGGATGGCTGGTCGACTTTTATTAACATACAATACCGCTGGACAAGTTTTCTGGAACGGATACTTTAGATGAACTGACCACTTTTACCTCTTGGCAAATAAGGTCAGATCGAGGCTGACCGCAAGAGAGAAATAAGGAACTCATGAAAAACTAGCAACCATTCATGGATTCACTGGCCTGTTTGGTGTGCAAACCCAGTTCTCTCTCTCTCTCGCTTTTTAAGGATAAGAATAACGTCGACTGGTAGTTGACTGGTGCATGCCTCTTTTAACAATAACCAAGTCCATTGTCAAACGTCGTCTTGACCTATGACAATGGATTTTAGGTGAGAAAAAAACGTAAAAATAGATTTCTTAGAAGCACGTGCTAACTCACCCGCGATTAACACGTTCACAACGTCCGTCGACCTCTTTTCACAATAAGTATCTTAAGTGCTCTAATATCTCACCAGATCTTTTGCTCAAACGTTTAGCATTTTTAATGCCACTTTACAGTCTCGCAACTATTCACAACTACAGAATATTTTCTTTAAACCGAAGAAATAATAATTAAAACCAAAATGAGAATCTAAAAAAGAATTGTTTCACGAAAAATTTACAATTTATTTTTTTAACCGAGTTGAGAAAAAAAAATTCCACGATAACACATTGAAAAGAAGTGTATATAAATTGAAAAGAAAACAAATCTAAAAGGAAAAGCGCCATGTGTAAAAGAGGTAAATTCCTCCTGCAAATCGTCGGATAAGAGTAAATCCTCAAGATCCAGTTCAACAATCGACTGGAGAGTTGAGTAAAGTGGACAGCTTACCGTAATCTTGAGGTCACGAGGGTCGCAAGTATCATACTGTCGACTAAAACGCAAAACCGTATGCGTTTTATTCTCGTAGCCTAGCTGGAGATTATAATCCTGACTCGAGTCCATCTGAGGGTCTCTGGTAGCGTCCTTGACATGTCGATCCTGCAACATAAAGTAGATGTGAAATTAATAAAATGTCGATATAATTTTAGCTTACTAAAATTAAGTCAAATATTTTCTTTAACGTCTGCTCTGAAATAGTAGCATAACGTAAAAAAAAAGTAGTAAATACTGCTAAATATAAATAGTACGTTTTTAGTAGATGAGAGCAAAGTTTTTTTTTCTCTATCGAGAGGAGAAACTGAAGAAAAGTGGCCACGCACGCCAAACAAAACAACACGCGTTAGTAACGCGCGTGACTTGACGAGGTTCACGCGGGAAGCACAGACCACGGTCATGGTTTAATGCTGTTAAATTAAAATTTAATAAATCCCAATGCGAGACAAAAAGAGTCATTTACGAGCAAACAATGCCTTCGAATTGGGCGAGGCGAGCCGTCGAGTGTTGCATTCAAACCGCTCCAGCCGGCCCCCTCCGATAATTATATCGAGGCGGCGACGCGACGGTCCGGAATCCTGTCCGCAAAAACTTGTCTTGCAGAGAATTCTGAGGATCGACAGACACTTTGGATTAACTAACCACGAGGCTTGTCAAAAGCCTAGAGGCGTCACCGTCGGCGCATTGCTGCAGGTGTCGAGAAAGGCGCGACCGTTACATGCTGCAAAAGGTGCGATACACTCTTTCTTCTTCTCCTTCATTCTTTTCTTTTAACAAGTCCATTTTATCCCATAGCGTTTACTCAACAATAGAACATTGATTCCGGGATCGAAAACGTGCCATTATGTTGGCGCGTCAACTGCTCTCGCGTCGAATGGAAAAATGTGCTTGAAAAGGACGCGAATCTTTTTTCAATCTTCTTTTTTTTTCTCTCGATCACTCTGCTGTGTTTAAAAACAGATCGAGAGAAAAAAAGAAGTGAAGAACAAAGGTTCTTTTAATTTGACTATGAATTCTTTTCAATCAGTTCTATTCAATTCTTCACTCAACTGTGTGAACCTTCTATTCAGGAAGATATTTTAGTAATTTTAACTAAATTCAATTAGCACTGATTACTCTACTATTTTTATTGTTAATTCCGACGAATATCCGCGCAGGGGAATGGAGAAGGTTACATTTGCGGCGGAGATGGAGCGCCACTCTTGATCTAAAAACGTCTTCTAGGATCCAAGGTTTAAGGGTTTTAGTGGATAGCTTGCCAGGTATTCTAATTTAATTTTTTTTAACACGGAATCTTGGAATGCGGAATCTAAAATTGAAAGCAGATTTCCCAAAAGTCCCTAAGCATAAAAAGAAGTGTACTTACGCGTAAGCTTATGCTTAGGCACTTTTTTGCGCTTTTTGCGTAAGAAGTATTTACGCGAATATAATATAATACGCGATATAAAATTGAATCTAAGAAATATACCAACAAAGAACTTTAATGCAAAAGTAGAGATGAGAAGAGAACCTTCTTTTCTCCTTATAGAGACAGGTGAGATATGAGAATGGGAATACAGTATTGAATTGAAGGAGAAAACACTTCTCAACCCTACTTTCTCATGCGTACTCTACGCTTCTCATTACAGTGTAAAGTCACTCAATGAATAATTCCGCTGCGGTACACCCGCAACAGCAGCTCTCTCTCTGACTATTTCTAATATTTACCGCAAGCATGCGATGAAACTTGCATCTTGTCGCAACAGTCGTTTACGTAAATATTTCAAGCTTTCGATATACGAAATTGCTTTGCGAATGTTGGCTTTTCAAGAATGTTTAACATGCGAATTGAACTTCTATGTGTTCAAAACTTATTGAAACTACTTTAGAAAAATTGAACGAAACTTTTCATTTTGTATTTAAATTTATGCCACAGCTCCTTCCCTCGTTCATAATTGAAGTTGTGCGCTAATAATAGTTCTGCTAGTGCAACTAAATAGTGCCACTGATGAAAAGTTCGATTTTCGCGTTTTTTGTATTCAAAGTTTCACGAAGTTTTCAATCATCATCGGACATTCCAGTTTTTGAGTGAATTCTGAAAATAAAACAAATTTTTCCAAACGGTTTTCAATTAAAAATAAGACAGCTGATGGTAAATCTTTTTCCTCAACTTGTGTTTAATTATAACAATTCCATTCACGAAGTAGAACAGGTGGCACGGATGTCAGTTTTTTTATTCGAATTACCATATTCCTATCACTACACTGCTAATTATTTCAGTTCTTTAATTATTTTAAGTTCCTTTTTACTTTGCTATTCTCCCTTCATGATAAGGCGAACTCGGCAAATTCAACATTCGGGGAACGAACGTTTGTCACAGACTCATGGAACTGTGTGATTTCATGTCATCTGTTATAAAAAAAAAAATAAAAATAACAACTTTTCACTGCAAAAATGCGCAGCAGACGTATCTCGAGGTGTGCAACCGGAAGCTGCCGATATGCGGCCTGATAAAGTAATAAATAATTTGCAGAAGCGTTCCTCGAGCGACTTGTTCAATTTCCGCTCAGTGTCGGAAGCAGCCAGCGTATTTTTCCCATTCCAGATCGAAAAGTCCGTTTTCTTCCGCTCCCGAGTACTACATTGTTATCATTTTTGCATATATGAAAAAGTACTCTTTCTCTTTCTGTGTATGCAAAAGAATTATATACTCGAGAAAAAAAATTATATATTTTTTTTTCTGCTTAACATGAACTAGTTTTACAGTAGCGTATTTTTAATTTCAGTTTTATAAATTTTTTGTTTTTCAAACGGAATAATTTGATGAGTATAAGTATTGTAATGGAGCGTTAGCTGAGGAAAGTAGTTTTTCTTCAAGTTTACTTTTGCTGGAGGGTTATACACTTTATGTTGGTACATTCTCTGTAGAGTTGATTTAATCATCCATTGCGAGAAGTAAAAGTATTCTCCTGCCGCATCAAGGATCAAACTTTTTCATTCCACTTCAAGTGCGTTATTTTTTAATCTGTATTTCTTCCCTGCTTTTTATATTCCATTATTTACATACAATTTACATATTTATGTATAGATATACACTGTACCGTCAACCGGGACAAGCTACTTTTTGATTTACAAAATATTTTCAATTGTATTTGGTACTTCCTGTTGTTGTAGATGGATACATTACTGATAGAGTAACTATAATGTTATTAGTGAATACTTTATTGTTAAAAATGTTTGTTATACTTTATGTTAATGAAAATTCGTCAAGCGGAGATGCCAACGACCAACGACCGTTACTAGAAGCAACTGCGCTTGCGCCCCACCGACCCTCTTATTGGTAGAAAAAAAGCGCGCTTATATGAAATGCTAAGTTTGCCACAGAGAATTTTACTAAAAGTACAATTTTACTCAAATTTTTAGAATTCATAACAAAATTTGAACTATTGATATTTATCATTTTAGAAAATTTAAAAAACTTAAAAAAGAATTTAAATTCTTAAAAAAAATATCAAGGATATTATTATTTTTCTTAACAAAAAAAAAATCTTGTCAGTTAGCATATAAGTGGAAACGTTTTCGATTAGAATTGAGGAAAAAAAAATTCTCATGAGTATATATTCACACGTTCTGGATAAACCAGGATGTAATTATGCTTTGACTAATTTTTATATTATGCAATTCAACTCTGATTACAAGTCAACTATAGATTGCTTCCTGAAACATTGTGAATATATCAGTCGAATGCATATTACTGAATATCACATGGATACAAATATTTTCCATACATGTATTTCATATATACAAAAATTACGTAATTTAAAAATGTGTACATTCTTTACACAATACACATACGTTTTACGCAAGAAAGAGTTTTCATGCAAAACAAAAAATTATTTTCTTTTGTAAAAAAAGTAATACTTGCATTTCAGTAAATAATTTTCAGTTTCTTTTTTATGTTCTGTTTGTATATAATTTCTGATGATGGAAATGTATTTTATAACAAAAGACTTTTTAATCGTAAAATTCTTTTTTTAATTCTGCGAAAGTATTTTTTTCAATGTTGCACGATATACAAAACGATAAAGAGTATGAGCATATTGTTGGAATATAAATTAATGTTGAAAATTTAAATTAATGCTTACAAAGTAACGTCATCCTTAGGGGAATGAAATTATGTAACTCAAAAGAAAGAATTCTTTTATGTAATATAAATTTTTTTGTTTGTTCAAAATTTACTTTTTGGGTAAGACTCCGTCAGAAAAAAAGCGATTTGCAAGTGGTCTTCCGATTTCTTCGAAACCTTGGGAAATAGAAGTCTTATATGAATTAAATTTAACCCTAAAAGGATTTTGAAAAATTTTCAAAATGGCGGCCGCTACGCCATATTGAAAATGAGTGTTGCGTTTTTTTCAAAAATTAATAACTCTGCAACTTTTTGATCGATTTTAATAAAATTTACAGGCGATATAGTTAAAAATACGTAGTTTAATTTGATATTATGAACAAAAAAAAATTTCCAAAATTTGTCAAAAAAAAGTCAAAAAAATTTTTTGAATTAATTTTTAGTTCAGTTGGCCTAATTTTTGAATTTTCTAATAAGTAAATATCGATTCCTTGTAATTTCACCTTTCATTTCATAAAAAAAAATTTATGGAGACTCTAATAGTTCTCGAGATATTGCGACTTTAGTGGGAGCGCGTACCGCGGAATTAAACTCCGTAGCGAGGCGGAATATGAAGCGAGCGTACAAACGTGCACAATAGGGTGTCCGTAACAATGCGACTTTCGAATTTTGTTTACGCCACCCCCCAGTTTAGTTCCAATAAAATAAAAAAAAATTTCCCAAAATTTGAAGCCGATTGATTAATATTAACACGTGCCAGAGATCCATCGAAATTTCCCATTAAAAATACATAGGAAAAATGCACTTTTTAAAAAAAAATTCATAACTTTTTTAATTTTCATGCAAAAAATTCTCCAGGTCACATTTGCCTTCATTTTTAGCTGCACTATAAGATAGCACTTTGCCAAAAATTTAATTTTGAAAAATTTTTAAAATGGCGGATGATTAAAGTGGGTCATAAAAATGCACCACAATATATCCAAGGTTTTAACACATAAGT